TGCTCCCCATCTCCCTTTAGGCCATCGCTACCGTTATCGTTGTCATGCTCGTCTTCTCGTTTGTGCTCGTCCCAGTCTGCTCTTCCTCGCCAGCATTAACTCAAAAACTCAGGGTTTGGTGTGCAGGACCTGACTCGGCACTGCAGGTAGGGGGCTGGGGGCTCCGAGGCACAGGTCGATTCATAACAGCTCGTCGTTCCTGAGTGGCAGGCCCAGCAGACTTTGCAGCCCAACCCCAGGCCCTTCCAACCTCCCCCCCCAAAAGCCCGATAATAAAATATACTAGAACTTACTATAAAATAACTTACTACAATATGCTATAACATTCAGTGTAGTATACGATGAACTATAGTCTTTTTCCCTCTCAACTTCTCCACGGCCAAACCCGAAATGAGAGAGTCTCATGGCAGGGCTTCTGTGGCGCAGCCGCGCCGATGGGACTTTGTGAAGAACCAGCCGGTCTTCGACAAGTGCGCCCCGCTGTTTCGTTTTGTTATCTTGCTATGTTTGTGTTATGGTATATCAGAGTATACTCAGTATATTGCAGTATATCATGATATACGACAGTTAATAGTATACTACAGCCTATTTTATACTATATTATGGTACCATTTTTATTCTCGAGTATCTCAACAAACTTCGGGGTCGGTAGACTCTAACTTACCACGAATCATTCAAGAGCTTCCGCATGTTAGTGGGGCCTTTGCCGGTGTAAGGGCTTCGGGTTTGGGGTTTAGGCCTTTGGGTTTCGGGTTGAGGGTTGAGGCCTTAGGGCCTTAGGGTTATGGGGTTTGGGGTTCAACCCTAAACCCTAAACCCTAAAGCCTACCAAGTGCGGCTTAGGCTTCAACCCAAGCCCCAGCGTGTGAGCCGAGCTGCGAAGGCGCCCCGAATTGAACTCCTGAAGTCTGAAACCCCTACATAGTATGCTACTATTACCTATCTATATTCATGTATATATATATATATATACATATATATATATATATTATGGTCTATTACAAATGATAGTAGGCTATACTATAGGATATTATAGTATATTATAGCATAATCCAAGCTGTCAACCCAATCTAAAGGCCTAAACGCCTCTCGAGGACTTGTGCTTATAACACTCCTTGCCAAATCTGCAACGGCATGTAACACTACGTAGAAACCAACTGGAGCCTTTTCAAATCAAGAGGCATCCAATCTTGAAAACCTTGCAGAAACTTCACAAAGCCTTTTCTAGAGTTCTATGGACACTCACCAGCAGCTGAGGGCTCTGGGCTGTGAGTGAGTGGGCTTAAAATCTAACTTAAAGACCGTACGTTGCAGGGCGTGGCAGATGTCGGATAAAGGCGACACGCGTGAGTTTTGCAAGATTGTAGCTAAGTTGCTTCGAGTGACGCCAGCCCTGTAAAGATACTGGCATATGAGGGTCGCGAGATGCCGTAGTAAGCAGGGTGAGCATCGCAGACATGCGGAGATTGCACAGTCGCAGATAACGAGAATACATCATGATGTCTTAGGCAGGTAGTTTCTTCGATGATGTTGCCGGTGAACTGATTGGAGGATCATCATGAGTACCTGATGTACAAGGTGGCCAGCCTAAGTACGGAATCTATGGCTACACCCTAGCTCCTAAAAACTAAACCCTGAACCCTGAACTCTAAACGACTCTAAGCTGCTACCCCAGGCGTGCTCGACGGAACGTAGGCCCCGAGGTCTCGGGAGGGTGGGAAGGAAGCATTCCCAGTGAATGCATTTTCCGCCGCAAGTTGGGAATTCAATCCGGCGCCCCAGGAAACCCCAAACCCGAAATCTTGAACCTTAAACCCTAAGTAGGTCTATGAATCCCACGCCCTACTTACTCTATGAATCCCAGCGCCCAAGGAGCTGTAGTTCTGACAGGTATGTGGAGTTCAAGTTTTCGGAGGAGGCCATCAGATGCGGTGCAGGGCTTTCGTTTGGGCCTGTTGGGTCATTACTTAAAGGATCATGGGACTTAGTAAGTAGGGTTATAACTACGGTAACTATACTTATAACCCCAATTAGGGGACTCATAACCTTACTTACTAAGTCCCATGATCCTCCAAGTATGATGTAGGGCATAGGATGTCAAGGCCCTAAATCCTGAACCCTAAACCCTGAACCCTAAACCCTAAACCCTAAACCTTAAACAAACAAACCCTACATCAAACCCGTCCCCACAAGGCTAAGCCGTCAACTCCTGTCAGCTTGTGGTCCTGACGCCGTGCTACGTACATGAATTTCGCGACCTTGTTGCCTTAGAGTCAGTTTAGGGTTACTTCATGGGGTTGAGAGGGGCTGATGTAGGATTTCCCTGTTGTCCTTATTTGTGTTCCCTGAGGCCCCTAATCTCGTTGTCTTCCCGCTATGACCTGCTACGAGTCATGATTGTTCTTGGGCAGAAGGTCTACTGTAGGATTCCGTGCGGGGCTTCTTGGGCGTCTCATGTTTTTTTTTCGCCGGCTTCATGTAAACCTCTACCCTAAATCTTAGTTGCCCCAAGCCCTGTAGGTGAAGAGTACGGTGGTTTTGGGTCCAAGGTTTCGAGGTTGGAGGGCTGAAGGTTGCATTGATGTTGCACGGGTTTTGGGGTTTGATATAGGGGCCAAAATTATTACCTATACTATTTTGGGGGTTCCTTTCTATAATTATACTATACAGGAGCCCAAAACCCTATTCTAATTGTTAAGGCCCCTACATTACACGGGTTTTGGGGTTTATAGAATCTTCTAAAGCAGTTTGGGGGTCCGGGTTTGGGGCATCGGATCAGGTTTTGTTGGCTGAACTCCGGGCTTTGCGCTTTGAAGGTTCAGGGTTCATGGTTGTCTTCTGAATTTAGGGATATCCCAAAGCGCAACAGCCTATAAGATTGTTGAAGCCCTTATTTCGGTAGTTGTATTCATTTGTCCCTCTGTGTATGGGACCGTAGTGCACCGTAGTGCGCACACCTTGCAGCATTGAAGATGTATGTAAACTTCCAGAGAAAAGTACTGTATGAGCTTTCAGAACCATGAGTTTCGTCAAACAGGAAAATCAAGCGATGAAGTTTAAGTGCCTGAAAGCCGGGCAAGGAAGCCCGAAATTCCTGATCTCGAAGGATCGTGCTCGCTGTCGCGCTGAGCGGCTGCAGTTCCGGGACCATCAGACAGAGGGATTCTGGTGTGGGGTTTAGGGTGTATTACAGCATTGCTTTTCTTGAGGTGTAGCAGCACTTGATTGGATGTTCAGTCGTTAGATTGGAGCTGAAGCCCTCAAGCATTCCAAACCCAAAAGCCTTGAAGCCACGGAGACGTGTTATGTTTTTGGAGGCTATCGGGTTTTGTCTTGTCTTGAGAGTCTCATCGTGCACTCAACCATTCCGTAAAATGTATCTGTACATTACGCATAATAAAGGCAAATTATCTGTGTATATAATTACAGACACAACTAAGAAACCCTCAACCCTAAACCCAAACCCCTGAACTGAAACCCCAAACCCTAAACACTTAATACTTCAAACCTTACACCCAGCCTAAGCCCCGCCTACATGCAGGCTCTAAGCTTGCAGCAGAACATAAATCGTCACCCTAACCAACCACCCCAAACCCTCCCTAAGCTCTTGTCGAGTCGAAGCCTTATAACTTTTAATCTTGAACCCGAAACCGCAAACTCAATAGCTTAAGCTAAACCCTAAACCCCAAAACCCCAAAACCCCACAACGACACCACAGGGGGAAGAGGGACCCCATATCCCACCCATAGGGCGGGGACCGCGGAGCGCCTGACCATATACGTTTACATGCGCTACATAGTTGTCTACATAGTTTTAGGGTAGGGGTTCAGAGGTTTAGGGGCTTAGGTGTGTAGGCTTTTAGGAGTTTAGGCGTTTAGGGATGTCTTGGGCCTCTTTAAGATTTAAGGGTGAGGGTGTCAGGGTTCGGGCTCATTCGGATTTGGGCGAAGGGGGGGTTTAGCTTGTGGGCTTAGTCCAGATTACACATGTTGAGGGTTATGTCTCTTCCTCGCAGGTGCGGGACACACCCAGCTCACTTGACCCTCAGACTAGGGCTCCTTAATTTCGCCCAGAATTAGCCTGGCAGCCCAGGATTCGTAGTTGTCCTTTCGCCTCGCTCCCCAAATCGTATCAAATCGTCAGGGTTCGGGGGGTATAACACGGCACTCTGCAAGCGGCTCATCAAGTTGGGATGTTTCGCTGTCCATAAAGCCCGTGCCGGGTGCCCAGATTGCTTTGGCCCCGCGGAGACTAAGAAACTGGAGCACAAGTGTGGGCTTTCCTGCATCGACAGTCTAATGCGCTTCAATGCTGATCTCGTGCCCGAGATCATTAAAAAAACAATCGGCATTCATGGTCCGATGAGGGCGCTCACCGCATGGCCCTGAAGGCGCAGAAACGAAAGCATCTGTGGAAGAACAGCAAAAGCAGCTTCACCTCTATTTTCTCCTGAAGCTTTGTTTTGTGACCCGAAAGCGAGATCACATCACAGGACGATCCTCGCCTTTCCCCGCCGGCGTTATCGGCCGACACAGCCGAGCTGGACCGCCACGTGTTTGTTTAGAGCCTGTCTGCGCAGAACTGTAGGCAACACACACACACACAAATGTGCATTCATATATGTACATATATGTATCTATACATATATATATATACGTATGTTGATATTCTTGTGTGAATATGTTAATATGTTGACATCTTAATACGTTAATATATTAAATTTTAAAGCGCATATGTATATATATATATATATAGGTGTATATATATATATATACCCATAGGTAATGTATGTGTGTATGTATGTATGTATGTATGCATGCATGCACGCACGCACGCATGCATGCAAACACACACACTATCGCGCCTGGCTTGAGCATGACATTGCTTCGATTTGCACATCAAGGTGTGGAATCAAAGGGCACTGCTAGATCAGAATTGCAGGTTCTAACATGGCTATACTTCCGAGCCGGGACATCGGCGGCAGTTCTGCAAAGTCGAAGGCTGTACGAGTACCTCGATGAGCTCTGGAACTTCCGCCGTGAGGGCGGGGTCTTCATCTTCACCAACAAAGTCTCGGACCAGGGATGGTGCGCTCCGGATGCCCAGAGGTATATAGGTTTGCAGTGGCGTTTTGAAGTAACTTCTTTCCAGAATCAACTGCAAACGGCATTGGCGTTCGACGAGCACAGACATGTTACTGGTACATTCGGAGGATGCATCAGATGTTGCAGTGGAAATGCACTGCCCCAAGGTAACTTCTTGAGCCTGGACCGGATCACGCGCGAGCCCGGCTGGCTGAAGGCCCGGGGATCTGGAGTGCAAGCCCTCGACGGCTCCAGCGACCCCAGTATCAACGGCGCACAGACCTCAGGGAGTGAGCGGTCATTAGGTTTATCTGGAGTCTGATACTAGTAGATCGTTTGAAACGCCTACCCAGCCATCACCACCCACTCGCTCATGCAAAGCCTCGTGTACAAACGAAGCAGCCTTTCTCTCGAGTGCTGGCGAGGGCGTAAGTCTCCCTGGCAGGCTGGCGGCCTGCGGCTGCAGGGACCCTTGGCTCCAATTTGCAACTAGTTAGGGTTTAGGGTTTAGGGTTTAGGGTTCAGGGTTCAGGGTTTAGGGCTCGACTTCAGAGAGCACTGAAATTGAGTCGGGCCATGGTAAAACTTTCGTTTGTTGTCAACCAAGCCAGCCAGAAATCACATATCTAGTTCTCGAAGGCCATATAGGCTTTCCCTCACATCACGTAGCTCTCTAGGACTCCGGGACCCGCCTGTTGGCTTCAGGGTCAGCTGAAAAAGGGGGTTCCGTAGAGTTTCTAATCTAGAAGAGTTCGGCTTCGGTTTTCTGCGTCCCATAAGGCTTAATTGACCAAAATTGCTCAGGACACGTAGAGCTGCCATTCACCGATGCCCCGTGCCGGGGACAGCCGCTAGACTTCACGCGGCTTGGCGCGCACTTGCAGCCAGCGGAAGGATTTTGGTGTTTCCTTCAGACCTGCAACATAAAGATATTCAACCGCATCTTGTCTCGTAGCTTCTAGAGTATGCAGACTCCAGAGGCACTTTAGCTTCATTAAGTCTACGACGACCCATGCCATGATTATCGGTCCATCTTGCTCGCCATCATCGTCACGGCATCCATGACCACCACATCGCCAGCACCCTCATCTTGCCAATCTTCTCTCACCCCCCTCGATGCTTATCAGCACTAAGGCAGGAGGCGGCCTTCGTGACGTGGCCCGGCTGCATCGGAGCGCCCCTTACACACCTTGAGCCAGAAGCTCCCGAAGACACCCCCAGCCTGTTTATAAGCTTTCTTGGAACCATCTCCTGGAGCCCTAGGATACGACTCTCCGAAGGGCCTCCGCTGCTCTTTGACAAGCGAGCCTCTCCTGAAGGGACGCTTTGGGAGGCTTCGGGGCCTAGTCCGGTCCAGGGTTCCACGAATGAAGTAACGGGCCATCGCGGCGGAATCCGTGCCGAGGGTCTTCCTGAGAGCCACAACCTCGAAACCTCAAACCTTTGCTGAGGTTCAGACAGCAGTAAGCATAGACGCCAAGAAGAGCAAGCTTCGTGTAAGCATGGAGCCTCGCGTCTCAAACGGCAGCCGCATGCAGACCCAAACAGAGCAAGCACAACATAGTACTAAGTTAGTCCATCGCATCAGCCTGATGATTGTCAGCAATAGATATGCATGTTACCATCTGCTGATTCCTCCTGACTCCTTACAGGCCTTACAGAGGTGAACGACTCCAGGCGCAGGTGCTCGTAAGCATAAACACCATACAGCACAGGAGGCCTCGTGAGCATGGAGCCTCGTATCTCAAGCCACAGCCGCTATTTTGCTATACCCGGAAAGGGCACAAGAGTCGAGATTCTCGATGGCTTCGGGTTCATAGGATCCTTTTCCATGCTGCTAGTCTGCCTTTGATCTCCGAAAGACTCAGAGCCGATATCCGTTTGGGGTTTCTTACCTGTTATCAAACCCTTACAGTATGACCCTTATCGGGCTTCTGGTGTCCTAGAGCTCTCGCCAGAGGTATTCTCAGCGAGCGCTCGGAGTACTTCCGTGAGATGCTGGCATCCAAGTGGCGGGAAGGTCAGACGAACGAGGTCGACCTGAGCATGAGCCTCGACCTCGACTTGGGCGATCTTCGGCTTCGGGTTCTTTGGAGATCCAGGTTTGGGGGGGTTTTGGGAGGTTTTGAGGGGTTTTGGGGGGTTTGGGGGGGATTGGGGTTTGGAGGTTTCGGGTGAGCCCTTCTTTGCTGAGTCCTGGCCGTTCAGGGATCTGATGTGCGAGTGACTGTCCCGTCACAATTTGAGCTCGCTGAAGGCACCTGCTCACCAAGAGCTTCCTGACGTAGGGTCCGGAAGCCAGACTAACTACGGATCCCACATGATGTCAAAGGGCTGACTGGAAGGGGACAGCTCAAGGACCCCCGACATCCAGCGCAACTCCCTTGATGCGGTGCTGTGCTATCTCATGTCCAGCCGCTTCTTCTCCGGTACCTCGACGGAGTTGTTGATTTGCAGGCAAGCGTTTAGCAACCAGAGTCATTACGATTCTTGCTTGTCAGGTCTACCGTTCTCACGACATGATTATGACAAGAGACTAGTCACCAATAATGTGACCCCATTGGTAAGGCCTGACCAGGCAGGGCTTTAATTCCAACAGATGCGACACCGGGATTTGCTTTCAGGAGGTCTTATTCTTGATAGAATATGGGCTGAAGGTCTGATATTGCTCTGAGGCGGAGACGCAATGTTCGCCTTCGCTGTGCGGAAGCTGGCAGACCAGTTCTGCCTGAAGGACCCTGACCATCTTCGGGTCATTGCAAAGAGGGCTCAAAACCAGCCAAAAGCATGAGTCGTTGTTTTGGAGGCTCATGTATACAGTGACCTGATTGGATGTAGCTGGCGGTTTCAGGTAGAGATCTCGCCTGCAAATGCTCAACCCAACTATGTGTCAGTTCGTCTCAACTCAGGACCTTGTGGACACGGTGGAAGCCGAGTTAGTGACGATGCTGTCGCAACTCGGCGGCCTCTGGATAAAAGGATGCGGATGTAAGCCGTAAGCATTGTTCCAGAATGTGCCACCGGAATCTCCAAAAACTGCAGATGATCGCTTGGCTGCTTAGCTGTGGCTGAAGACTCAGTTTTCCAAACCCTTTCGGCTGTTGGTATTGAAGCTAGGGTGAATAACTCACACATCCCCTCCCGCCTTTAGCTGCTGCATCATCCAGGAAGCAGCGGGTCCTGGCCTTTTTGGGTCAGGCGGGGTGGAAACGGCCAGGCTGTCTGAAGGATTCGGGACGGTAGCTGCAACTGGGCAGGGCATACCACGCGAAACCGACCGGGATGCAGCCGACTTGTGCCTAGCGCAAATTTTGTTCAATTCCTACAGCCCCTTGGTTCTAGATATGTCCTCGGCCTGCGCCTGCACCAGTAAAACAAGCTCGACACTCCAGCTCCCGGAACGATCGGACCACAACAGGTCAAGAGAGGTCAAGAGAGACTCATGCCCAATCGCTGTTGGGGATGCCTTAAAGGATCCGTTAAAGCAGCCCTTCAAGAAGCCGTAAAGAGCCCCCTTGAAGCATCCCGTAAAGGAGCCCTCAAAGGAGCGACGCACACGTCTCGGCAGGTCTTCGGAAGCGGCGGCCGACTGGAGTTGGCCTGCTGGGAGATGGTGAAGGCCTCCCCCGAGCCCAGAGAATGAACAAAGCAGGTAGAAGTCGATGATAATACTATATGTATGCCTATGTACATGTATGTATACATATATATATATATATATATATGTATATATATATATATAGAGAGAGTGATATGTAGAGATTTATGTATGTATGTATGCATGCATGGATGTATGTATGTATGTATGTATGTATGTATGTCTGTTTACTATACGCAGAAGCAGGTAAAACATACATATAGGGATAGGCAAGCGAGTAAATAATCAAATGCACATACATGCATGCATGCATGCATGCATGCATGCATACATGCATACACGCCTTTGTATGCATGTATATATATATATATATAGATATAGGTGTGCACCGATCTTGAGTGTAACGACATGTCCCACCTGGGCACTGACTATGTTGAAACACTTGTCGGCATGTGTGGTGCAAGCGTGGCAATCGCTCTGATTACGACGTACGGTCCAAGATGATCTAGTAGCTCTAGTGTTGCGCGCTCCTCTGCTGGCTGCAACGCCTTTGCGCGCTGCCACTGTTGATCGTAGTCCGAAGCTCCTCCCAGGCCAACGACTGCGCTGTCCTCCGTCGGCAGCGCGACAAGCTCGGCCAGGTAGGAGAGCTGCACATCCTGCAGTTTACTTCGTTGGAGTCGGCTTCTGCTTTTTGCTGTGCGTCAACCTAAATACCTGTAGTCCCTATCTTGAGCACCTGCCTCAAAACTCAAACCCCTGAGACCCTCGGTCGTGCGCCTCTGAGAAGATGGGGATTGCAGCTCAGGTGGTGGACGAGAACCCAGAACTCGCCAAGGAGGTGATGAAGTTGCTTGCCTTTGCTGGAAAAATCTTGCATGCAATCTACATCAACTTACCATCTGGTGTCCAGGCAAGTTTGATGGAACTGTCACTCTCCACAGCTTGTCGTCGGCCTAGCTTACCTTAGAAGAGCGGTGGTCAAGACAGTACACCGCGATACAGCATGTGGCGTTTCCCGGATGGTAAGTGCGGCCGGTTCAGGTTTGTTCAGATATATGTGCCTGGCCACCGCCAGGGGGGGATCGAACTCTCTAATTTGCAGAGGATCCAACCCACACATGTAGAAGGGCTCGAAATCCAACATGGTAGGCAGCAGGTTCGAAGTCAAGACAGAGGTGGAATCCACTCCCGGGTCGTGCATACTGATCCCTATTCCAGCTGTAACCACCAGAGCCTCTGATGACCAAGGCTGCTGGCTGCCCGCGGCAAGAAGCGAAGATGGGAAAGCTCCGGCAGCTCCGACTCAGATAGTAGCTGAGGCAAAGATGGAGCACACAGAAGTACGAGGCTTTTTCCTGACACTGGATCGAGGGGTGCATAAAGATACATCGGAGACTATGCGACGTTGCAGAGAAAAGCCTCGTGCCTGCCGAGCTGCAGCCCGATGCCGAGAGTTGAAAAGAGTCGTTGTTGCTTTGCAGCGCCCGATGCGTGCTGAGACTGGGTTCGCCAGTTCTGTGGGATTGCGAATATAGGTCGCAGTGGACTGGGCGAGATCTAACACGGCGCAGCCGAAGTCGAAGCCGGAAGATAAAACGATTGCTGCCTCTACGATCTTGCTATGGGTGCGAGTCATGTTCAGTACCAGTGGCAGTCGCCCTGTGCGTTCGATCTCGAGGTGCCGTGCCAAGTGAACTCCACTGATGTCAACCCAACCTGCAACATACCACTGGGAACCAATGAAAGAACGATCTCAAGTCAGAGCTGCTGTCAACTGGAGTGTGATGATGGTTCAGACATGGGAGGGGCGGTCGACGAAATTTCGGGAGTTTCGTGTGTGATGTTTTTTTTTTTGGCGGGGGTGGGGGGNNGGGGGGGGGGGGGGGGGGGGAGGCAACGACAACTGCCGAAGGAGTGGCGAACCTCATTCTGACCTCCTTTCTCCGGACTCTGTAGCTACGTGGGCCTCAGGTAGATTCTAAATAGGACAAATAGGACAATTCGATTTTAAACTAGTGACAACTGTTTGATTCTCAAAGCTAGACCAAAAGCCCTTCTCCGGCGCCAGGCCGCCCTCACGGCTGTGAATGCTGGCCAAATCTACCTGGATGGCGTGAAGGCGCGAGCCCGCACTGTGAAGCGCAGGTTTTGCACCGCCGCCTTCGGTGTTTCAGTATGTCTGCCAGCGTGAGACATTTGCGGCGCATGCGAGAGCATCACTTCGCTGTGAACGTGTGGCATCTGCGGACATCTGAACTTCGTGGACTGTTTCCCTCAGGTAAATTTAGACATTGGCCGATGCACAGTGTCTAAAGATCAGCAATACGTGCTAGCTGAATATTGGTAAACTGATGACGTGACTGCTGTTGATGTGACGTCGCCGCGCGAAGTGCTTCCTTTGCCGATTTGCTTTCGAAGAATCTTTAAATCTCTCGTGCTCGCTCATTCGCAGTCGCTCTCTCTGTCTCTCTCTCTCTCTGCCTCTCTGCCCCTCTCTCTCTGTCGCACTCATTCGCATGTGTTCACATGCCGGCATCAATTTTCGGCGAAACATGTGGGCGCACACAGAGTTATGTAAATGGCTATGCTGACATAGTATGTAAACTTACGTACGACATGCACACACGCGCATAGATATACTCGCATACACGAGGTGTGCAGTTCTGTGATGTACACGTTGGTCATATGTGCCCTTGCAGTCCCACGTTTCCGACTCACGTACCGATGTGGGAAGGCCTGTGGTTGAGATTTTGGACCATGGCCTCGTTTGGTCTGAGGCAGCTAGTCATGTCTGCATCCAGGTGTGTGCGGAGTGGCGGAATGCTCCCGCCAAAACCCAGGACATGATTGGTCTCATGCCAAGTGCCTAGAGGGAAGCTACGGCGAGGTACGAGGGCTTTGAGGCTTTGAAGTTTAAATTCTGGCGTGGTTGAGCAGATTCAGTCAGGCGACAAGTGTATAGGCAAGACCGCACAACAAGCAAGAAGGCAACACTCAGTCAATTACCAGCCTGCCTTCACAAGACAAGAGGGGCCTGAGCAGTTTATGTTAGAAATCTCGTTGAACCCGGCTGTGCTTGACACGGCCAAGTCCAGCTGGAGCTCTCACGCTCTCTTGCCAAGCGACGCGATATTGGTAAATACCTCTATGCAGGAGTTCTGAAATAGCTACTTACAGTTTTCGATACACGATTGCACTGGGGTCGTAGTGGTGCGTGTTTTCATGTGTTTCCCCTTCAGGACAGCCGCGATTTCGACGCCAAAGGCAGCAACCTGTTTTCCTCCAGAGATCTAATGCTGGGCGCCGAGCCGCAGCTCTGTCGTCTCAGGCTTCAGGGTTGTGGGTCAAGTATTCGCGATGATGTGCTGTGCTTGATGATGGACGACAGAGTTTTGGCGATCACTTCGCATGCTACATCACTGGCCGCATAGAGATCCAGGTGTGAGACCGTGAATATTTGATTCCTCTTGGTTTATCCATTTGTCAGCACTGCTGTTCCTCTTCACTTCGTTCGTCACCGACGCTGTGCATGACTAAGGGGCGATCGCTTACGGAAGGTGCGGTGGGGAAGATGGGAGTTGAGGCTGTCATCCATGTTGGATGCATGCTTCGGGCCCGATGCAGCTGTTGAGCAGTTGGAGTATGTTTGGGATTGTCCCCCTTCGAACCTGCAGAGTCATCTGTGCAGAACAGTCTTTGAGAGTAGTTGTGCTCCGCCCGCATATCTGACCTTTGACTCCGAGGAGCCTCGTCAAGAGACTTACCGACCTACCCCGTGGTTTCGTCAGCTTGCACGTTTTGGTGCCAGTAGTCACACAGCCCCTCCTTCAGGCCTGGGTCATTCACTGCTTGTCGGAAGCGTCAGCAGCTCCATCCGTACCAGGTAGCTGCATCCCAAGGGTCGCAAAGCCTTGCAAAGCCTTGCAAAGCCCTGCAAAGCCTGCACTCGAACCGATGCGCCAAACTTCCACCAGGAACTGGCATCGTCTTCATGATCTTACTCCAAAAGCACCGAAGCCACAGACTCCGAAAACCGAAAAGGACCGCGAGCGAGACGATCGAGGCCGCCATGGCCACGGCGGCCGGGCCCTTCGTTGGCTCGGTTGCTCTCTTGGCTGGCTGAAGGTAGAATTCCACAAACTAACAGTCAGTTGAGAAAGCAATGGGTATGACATAGCTGTTGATTTATGTCTTTCTCTCTTTCTCTCTCTCTCTCTCTCTCTCTCTCTCTTTGTATATACACACACACACAACCGATAGTTACAAACATAGAAACACTCATGCAAACACCCATCCGTTGGCATATAGAAAACAGGGCTCTTCCCAGATTTCAAACCTAACATGGCGACTAGTCACGTTTTTCGCAACCTGATTTTCTCGCGCTTCTTGGGGTTTGCTACTGCGCAGCTTGCAGTTCAGTGAGGTCGTGAGCAAGATCGACACCGCCGAGGACATCGCAGCCGCAGTCGCGGGAAGGACAAGGACAAGGACTGAATCTTTCGCCTGAGCCTCCGAAGCCTCGAACCGTCGCTATATTACAAATCATCACAGGGGTTATACGGGCAGGATCCGATAGGTTCGAGCTCTACTCTGAACTAGCCTGCTGCAGACAATGCAGGTCAATTGAACGCAGAACCCCGGTGTTGCCGAAAGCTCTCACTCCCAAAAAGGTACTCTAAGATTTGCATAGCTCCTCTGGATGAGGACCGGCAAGATCGAAACAAGAAGGGCAAAAGGAAAAGCAGCCGCGACCTCGGCAGTCTACGACTGTGGAGGTCCCAGGTTCCAGAGCAACTGTATGCTTGAGAGGTCACTCCACTTGGGTCTTTAAAAACCTCGGCAGATATTTTCCGACCGCAGGAGGGTGCGGCCATCTGCTCCGGCCAAGGAAATTTCCGGCACTCCCGCACTCTTCGCCTGTAACTTTGGGGCCCACTTCCGCAAGTGCTCAGCCAAGGTAGCAGCAGCAGCAGTAGCAGCCGGCGGCACAGATTTCTGAAGTTGAATTGAAAGACTGGTCCTTTGCAGAGTTCGGGCTGTTTGGTTTGCGTGGATGAATTCCTGGCGTGCCGGTGCCTAGATAAAGCGTGAAGTAGCTTGTGGATGATGGTCCGTCAAAGACATTGCTGACAGCCCATGGATACAGTCTGTTCTTGCTGGTTTGTTAGCCAGTGGCCCAGGCAGCCAAAGCAAAGGCAAGAAAGACAAAAAAGACAAAGAGAAGGACAAAGACACAGAGACAACTGCAGGAGGAGGCCCGCCAGGTTGGATCTGGTTTGATGAGTCGACCCAATCACTCACAAGGCAAGCAGGTGATTCGGAAAACGTTGAGGACCAAGCTATGCCCACCCCAATCTCCAGAGCCTGTCTCTTCGACAACATCTTTGGGAGACTTGCTGCTTCCTTGTGGCGTCGCAGCCCTGGCCCATCCGCATCCCAAGACTCTCCCATCTACCCTCTCGAGTGATTCTGCGTTCTTCCGCAGTCAAAGTGGTGCGACTCCCTCCCTCGCAGAAAGAGAAGGGGAAAGGCGGGCCCAGGATCTCTCCATTTTTAGGGTTTAGGGCTCAGGTCGGGACTCGCAGTGTTTGTCAGAAGTGTTCGTTCCGGCGCAACTTGGGTGGCTTTGCTTGGGAGCTTGATCGGGGCCCTTGGAGCTTTGGGAATTTTGCAGCACTTCCGAGCTTATGGTGCGACTGGATCTGGCCATGGACTACTCCACAGTCGTCATGTTAGTGAGTCTTACTCGGACGATACACTACGTTTCTCCATGAACCTTGAGCGATTCTGAAAGTGAGGTTTCAGGGCCTCCATCCGAGCCCGCTCCTGTTCCTGTCTCACAGCTTTGCAGGCCCTATCGAGATCGACAGCGACTGAGGCCAGAGTTACCTATCGTCGCCGAGTGCTCGCAGAGTAGCAAGAGCAGTGGAAGCAATACAGGTGATCTGAGGGTAGCCAGCTGAACATCCTCGAACCACAATGCCTGGGTGGGCTCGATCATGTTGATCTTTAACGGATGTGCAAGATGTCGAAGAGTGCAATCTGCATGGAGTTGCAAGTTGGATCGGGCAGCTTTCGTGCACGGTTGAGTCGGCACCCAAAGCATACAGCTGGCCTCCAGGCCCTTGGGCCCCACCATCCACATCCCCGAGGCCTACAGCCAAACTCCCCGTTCCGGTGCATTGAGTAGGCCGTCGATTGAAGCCCTTCCAATCCCCATCCGCATTCCCCTGGATTTCTCACGTCAGGACCTGAGGCCTGTTCAGCAAAGCTCTTAAGAGATTCCAACAGAATCCGAAGAAGCATGGCGACTCGAAC